TGAGTCAATCTTAAGCTGGCACCTGTGAGTCAATCTTAAGCTGGCACCTGTGAGTCAATCTTAAGCTGGCACCTGTGAGTCAATCTTAAGCTGGCACCTGTGAGTCAATCTTAAGCTGGCAGCTGTGAGTCAATCTTAAGCTGGCAGCTGTGAGTCAATCTTAAGCTGGCAGCTGTGAGTCAATCTTAAGCTGTACACCAGTTGATTGACGGTTGAGAGGCGGGACCAAAGAGCCAGAGCTCAACCCCCTCAAGCACAACTAGGTGAGTTCTTAGATATCTGTCATCCAGATGCTCCTGTCCACTCAAGGTAACCTCAAGAAGAAGATCATTCTGATAATCATTTGTCAGGGGGGGGGGGCTGACGGCTGAGTGGACAGCGCTCGGGATTCGTAGTCCTAAGGTTCCGGGTTCGATCCCTGGCGGAGGCGGAAATAAATGAGCAGAGTTTCTTTCACCCTGATGCCCCCTGTTCACCTAGTAGTAAATAGGTACCTGGGAGTTAGACAGCTGCTACGGGCTGCTTCCTGGGGGATGTGTAACATGGAGGAGGCCTGGTCGAGGACCGGGCCGCGGGGACGCTAAACCCCGAAAGGGCTTTAGGAAGAAGAAGATCCTCTCTACCTAGCATCTTGATCCTAAGACAGAGACAAAAGAACCTATTAAAACTTCTAATCTCCCTGATTTGGACCTCCAATCCTCCTCTCCCTCTCCTGCTCTCACTCTTCCTTTATATCTCTCTGCACATCGGGGCGACCCGACCCGACTCTGGCCGCCATGTATCTCCGAGACGATTGGGCACAGCTGAAACTTTGATACTAGATAACACTGGAGACGTCAAGCTCCGTCCCTCTGAACACCAGGCGGCTCAGAACCATCTGGAGAAAGCTGGGCGAGTTGGGTTCAAGTTTTCTGCTCGAAATTCCGTTGTGTTCCTCTGATATTTTACAACCTTCGGATTTCTCACAGTTGTTTAATGCTTGTATGTATATATATATATATATATATATATATATATATATATATATATATATATATATATATATATATATATATATATATATATATATATATATATATATATATATTTGAGTGAGGTGGGAAGGGTGATGTGGCATTACATTTGAGTTAGGTGGGAAGGGTGATGTGGCATTAACACAAGACAGAACACTAGAGGATATTAATAGGGTATTAAAAGTATATATATATATATATATATATATATATATATATATATATATATATATATATATATATATATATATATATGTCGTACCTAGTAGCCAGAACGCACTTCTCAGCCTACTATGCAAGGCCCGATTTGCCTAATAAGCCAAGTTTTCATGAATTAATTGTTTTTCGACTACCTAACCTACCTAACTTAACCTAATCTAATTTTTTCGCCTACCTAACCTAACCTAATATATATATATATATATATATATATATATATATATATATATATATATATATATATATATATATATATATATATATATATATATAAATATATAAGTGGTTAGGGTATTGCGGAATGAATCCGTCCATTGGAATGAACTCGAGAGGAATTCCTTCATCTTCAAGAAGACAATAGAGTCTTACAACTTGCAATGATCAAGTTCTTTTAGGCAAGAACAACAAACACTTTCAAATGATACCTGATCAACCAGGCTATGACTCATACGTCAGGCTGCGAGCAGCCGCATCCAACAGCCTGGTTGACCAAACGACCAACTGGGAGGGCCTGGGGGCCAGATTCACAAAGCAGTTACGGAAGCACTTACGAACCTGGGGCCAGATTCACGAAGCAGTTACGCAAGCACTTACGAACCTGGGGGCCAGATTCACAAAGCAGTTACGGAAGCACTTACGAACCTGGGCCAAATTCACGAAGCAGTTACGCAAGCACTTACGAACCTGGGGCAAGATTCACGAAGCAGTTACGCAAACACTTACGAATCTGGGCTAGATTCACGAAGCAGTTACGCAAGCACTTACGAACCTGGGGTCAGATTCACGAAGCAGTTACGCAAGCAGTTACGAACCTGGGGCAAATTCACGAAGCAGTTACGCAAACACTTACGAACCTGGGGCCAGATTCACGAAGCAGTTACGCAAGCACTGACGAACCTGGGGCCAGATTCACAATGCAGTTACGCAAGCACTTACGAACCTGGGGCCAGATTCACGAAGCAGTTACGCAAGCACTTACGAACCTGGGGCCAGATTCACGAAGCAGTTACGCAAGCACTTACGAACCTGGGGCAAGATTCACAAAGCAGTTACGCAAACACTTACGAACCTGGGGCCAGATTCACGAAGCAGTTACGCAAGCACTTACGAACCTGGGGTCAGATTCACGAAGCAGTTACGCAAGCAGTTACGAACCTGGGGCAAAATTCACGAAGCAGTTACGCAAACACTTACGAACCTGGGGCCAGATTCACGAAGCAGTTACGCAAGCACTTACGAACCTGGGGTCAGATTCACGAAGCAGTTACGCAAGCAGTTACGAACCTGGGGCCAGATTCACGAAGCAGTTACGCAAGCACTTACGAACCTGGGGCCAGATTCACGAAGCAGTTACGCAAGCACTTACGAACCTGGGGCCAGATTCACGAAGCAGTTACGCAAGCAGTTACGAACCTGGGGCCAAATTCACGAAGCAGTTACGCAAGCACTTACGAACGTGTACATCTTTCCTCAACCTTTGACGGCTTTGGTTCCATTTATTAAGCAGTTTACAAGGATGAAAACTTGCCAATCAACTGTTGTTATTGTTATAAACAGCCTCCTGGTGCTTCCGAGCTCATTAACTGTTTAATAATTGTAAACAAAGCCGTCAAAGATTGAGAAAAGATGGACAGGTTCGTAAGTGCTTGCGTGACAGGTTCGTGAATCTGGCCCCAGGTTCGTAACTGCTTGCGTAACTGCTTCGTGAATCTGGCCCCAGGTTCGTAAGTACTTGCGTAACTGCTTCGTGAATCTGGCCCCAGGTTCGTAAGTGCTTGCGTAACTGCTTCGTGAATCTGGCCCCAGGTTCGTAAGTGCTTGCGTAACTGCTTCGTGAATCTGGCTCCAGGTTCGTAAGTGCTTGCGTAACTGCTTCGTGAATCTGGCCCCAGGTTCGTAAGTGCTTGCGTAACTGCTTCGTGAATCTGGCCCCTGGTCGGAGACCGGGCCGCGGGGCCGTTGATCCCCGGAAGCTACACAAGGAAGGAAGGAGAGGTGAACATATTCAGTAAACAGTAATTTAGGTGCACGACTCTACTTGCATTCAAAATAATGGAGTCAATATTATGTTAAATGGATTTACTTTACACAATTTTTAGTCACGATTTTACTCAAAAATCAGTAAAAATGACAGATTTTTGTAATCTTTCGGGGCGTCACCTTATGTGATCTCGGGTGTTGACGTTACAAATTTGTGTGAAATCAGTAACAACACCTTAGAAATGACCTCAGCACCTCAGAAATGACCTAAACACCTCAAAAATGACCTAAACACCTCAGAAATGACCTAAACACCTCAAAAATGACCTAAACACCTCAAAAATGACCTAAACACCTCAGAAATGACCTAAAACACGTCAGAAATGACCTAAACACCTCAGAAATGACCTAAACACCTCAGAAATGACCTAAACACCTCAGAAATGACCTAAACAGCTCAGAAATGACCTAAACACCTCAGAAATGACCTAAACACCTCAGAAATGACCTAAAACACGTCAGAAATGACCTAAAGCACCTCAGAAATGACCTAAACACCTCAGAAATGACCTAAACACCTCAGAAATGACCTAAAACGCCTCAGAAATTACCTAAACACCTCAGAAATGACCTAAACACCTCAGAAATGACCTAAAAAAAACTAGAAATGACCTAAACACCTCAGAAATTACCTAAAAAAAACTAGAAATGACCTAAACACCTCAAAAATGATCTAAACACCTCAGAAATGACCTAAACACCTCAGAAATGACCTAAACACCTCAGAAATGACCTAAAGCACCTCAGAAATGACCTAAACACCTCAGAAATGACCTCAGCACCTCAGAAATGACCTCAGCACCTCAGAAATGACCTCAGCACCTCAGAAATGACCTCAGCACCTCAGAAATGACCTCAGCACCTCAGAAATGACCTAAACACCTCAAAAATGACCTAAACACCTCAGAAATTACCTAAACACCTCAAAAATGACCTAAACACCTCAGAAATGACCTAAAACACCTCAGAAATGACCTAAACACCTCAGAAATGACCTAAACACCTCAAAAATGACCTAAACACCTCAGAAATTACCTAAACACCTCAGAAATTACCTAAAACACCTCAGAAATGACCTAAAACACCTCAGAAATGACCTAAAACACGTCAGAAATGACCTCAGTACCTCAGGAATGACCTAAAAAAACTCAGAAATGACCTAAACACCTCAGAAATGACCTAAAAAAAACTAGAAATGACCTAAACACCTCAGAAATGACCTAAACACCTCAGAAATGACCTAAAACACGTCAGAAATGACCTCAGCACCTCAGAAATGACCTCAGCACCTCATAAATGACCTAAACACCTCAGAAATGACCTAAACACCTCAGAAATGATCTAAAACACGTCAGAAATGACCTAAACACCTCAGAAATGATCTAAAACACGTCAGAATGACCTAAACACCTCAGAAATGATCTAAAACACGTCAGAAATGACCTAAACACCTCAGAAATTACCTATACTTCCCATTACACGTGTGCAACCAACGCTGCCGTTAGCAAGCCACAAAGACCTGTACCCCACACACACCTGTACCACACACCTGTCATCACTAACGGCCCCACCAATGGTAGCAGGTTTGTATAAGATCATTTCTGTTAACGGTACGGAAAAACAGCCGTCAGCAGTAAAGAGCCTTTCAACAGAATTTTTCAAGGGCTTTTTAACAGAATCTTTCAGTCCTTTCAACATAATTTTTCAGAGGCCATTTAACAGAATCTT